GACTCTTAACTATAGAGAACAAATTGAGGGGTAATGGAAGGAGGTGGATGGAAGAATGAGTTAAATGGGTGACGGGTATTAGACACTTGTAACAAGCACTGGGTGTTGTATGGAAGTGATGGATCACTAAATCCTACACATGACACTAATATTACACTGTATGTTAACTAACTGGAGTTAAAATTAAAACCTGGAAGAAAAATAAATAAAGTGAAGTTTCAGAAGAGTATCAATGTGTTTATTAATCCATTTATTCTGTGTTAAGTATTAAGAGTGAGATGAAAAAATAATAAAAATAACCTCACTAAACTTAACTCCAGCTATCAACATCTAATTCAATTATCTTGCCATCACCCATGTGTCATCCTTTCAATAATCTCACTAAAAGTTTTATAAGAAAATGCAGCAGAGAGCTGGAGCATAAACCAAAACCATAAATCAGAACATCTCATTTAAAGTCAAAGACAGAAACATCCTCAGGAATGTAAATCGGTCCTAAAGTTTTAGGAGACCCATAAAATAAGTGTTTAAAAACCCACTGAAGATGCAGTACCACAGTACATTAAAAGCATGAACTCTGGAGCCAGATTTCTGGAATTGAAAACTCAGTTCGGCCCCTGCAGCTGGGTGGCCTTGATCAAAACCCTCTTAATAACTCTTGCTTCAGTTTCCCCTTCTGTGAAATGTGGCTAAATGACAGTACCTACTTAATAGAATTATTGTGAGGACTAAATGAGTTAATATTTGTGGAGCACCTAGCACTGTTCTAGGTTTATAGTAAGTGCTATGTAAATATTTAATAAATAAATAGATAAAATGTTGCCATTGAATATGGGTGAGAGGAAACGTTGTAATTGTTATTACCAAGTAGCTATATCCTCCCAGATTGAATGCATCATCTTGATCACCTTCCTGTTTGCCCTAGCAGCCCTGTGAGCTACCATATGATTCAGAGAGCCTGCCCTATTATTATGAAGAGAAAACTTGAGCTAAGACAAGAACAAGCTGGTCATTGCCTAAACGGAGAATAAACAATAGCAGCTCCAGGAATTTGATCTTTTTTTGAAAAGGGTAATTTAACATTAAATGACCTGAAAAGATAAACTTCCTGTAAAATCTTCAAGTCTTGAGATGACACAAAAATCTAGAAAGTAAAGCAGCACAATGGAACTTCTAAAAAAAAAAAAACAGAATAATTTACCTAATCTAAAATGCAATATGATTATAAGAAATAGTCATACAGTTGCGATGTATACGCTGGCTAGACTACACCTTTCAATCATTCATTCAGTCAGTCAGTCAGTCATTTTTTCAGTACATATTTGATGCTTGATGATTCAACAGGGAACAAGTGATAAACACATAAAATAACGTCAGGCAGTGATAAATAATATGAAGGAAAATAAAGCAAGGTGGAGAGTGACAGTTGGGGAAACAGTTTGAGGCATGGAAGATCTCTTTGAGAGGATAGACATTTGAACAAAGCCACAAATGAAGGCAGAAGCAGACAATATGGATATCTCAAGAAAGAGCAAACTGAGTAGAGGGAACAGCAAGACCCTGAGGTCTGAGATGAAATATGTTTGGTTTATTCAAGAAACAAGAGAGCCTAAACAATGATCTAAATTATCAAGGGGAAGAGCGATAAGAAGTCATCTGTGAGAAGCAACCAGGGGACAGATAATATAGGACTTTATGGGTAGTGTGTGGCTTATTTAAAAACACGGCCCAAAAGTCTTTAATAATTTTTCAATGTAGAGGAAGGGGTCTTTTGTCCCCTCCCTTTGAATCTGGGTAGGCTTAAGACTACTCAGACCAGGAGAATATGAATGACTATATTATTTCTGAGACTGGATCATAAAAGAGGATGTGACTTCTGCTTTATCTAGTGGAACATTCATGCTTGCAACGCTGAGCCCCCATGTGACTTTCCTAAGTCTGCCGTGCCTATAAAGGGCACATTGTAGACCCTGCTTCCCACCCCGGAGTGAGTAATCCTAGACTTCAAATAATCCTAATCCACATGCGAGACATGCGTCTAAACCTTCAGATGAATCCCACCCCCAGCCATTACATCTTTTCAGCTAAGGCCTCAAACACTTTAGAGCAGACACGAGGCATCCCTGCTATGTCCTGTTCCAAATGACCCATGAGCATAATAAAATAGTTGCTTTAAACTGTTACATTTTGAGTCACAATTTGTTACACAACAGTAGTAACTGGGACCCCATGATGAGGATTATTAGATTTCATTTCTAGTGAGGAATCTTTAGAGAGTTGAATTATATGACCTGATTTGGAAAACAGGCTGGAAGAGGGCAAGAATAGAAGCAGAGAGTCCAGTTTGGAGTTATCGAGGCAGGAGATGATAGTGCCTGGGGTAGGATAGCAGCAAAGAAGGTAGTGAGAAGAGCACTGATTGGGTTATATTTTCAAAGTAAATCCAGTCAGATTTGCGGATGGGCTGAGGTTGAGTGTAGGAAGTTGAGTGTAGGAATCAAGAGCGACACAGGGATTTGGCCATGGCAAGCAACTAAGTAAACAGGGTTGTCATTTACTGAGATACAAACATGAGAGAAGGAACAGGCTTGTAGGATAGAAATCAAGACTTCAGTTTTGAACATACAGCATGTCTATTAGACATCCGAATGGAGATGTTGAATAGGCAACTGGAGATATTAATTTGGAACTCAGGAGACAGGCTGGTTCTGCAGTACTGTATCTAACTCTAAGGGTCTAATTTTAGGAAAGATATTTACAAACCAAAGAATATTCATAAGGGACCAGGATGCAGATGCTTCTAGAAGTCATCTTGTTTTTTTTTTAAAAAAAAAAGTGTTGAAGGAACTAAACACAGATTGGACAAAAATATCCATAATGTGAAGAGATATTTGAATCACTGGGACATACCATTAGGACTCCTCTTTGAGAATAAGGTATCTTATTTGAGGGGCCAACGATCTAGTGCCCACTTTCATGGAAACTAACACAAAGTTCATAATTGACTCTCCCCATAGAACTAGACACCATTACAAAGATTTTGACCTGAAACAAAACTCCCAAGCATTGTAGGAGTAAGACTGACTAGCATGATGTTGTGTGGGTGCAAGATTCTTGAAACAAAGTGCAGCCAAACAAACCACATATTCATATGCTCCCAGCAAACAGCATCCTGGCCTATGAAAAATTTATTCGTATGCTTTCCACTTCTGAAATCCCTACATATGGGAAGTTTTCGTTAGTGCTAACAGTATGAAATTATTTTAGCATTACTAACCACAGAATTCTTCTTTTTTGGTGTTTTAATCTTTTTGGCATTAATAGAAGCAGCTTAATAGGTGATTGAGAGGAAGAAATCTACAGCTGGAATTCCTGGGCTAAGATCTTAACTCTGACACTTGGGCAAGTTATTTAAACTCTGTGCCTCGGTCTCCTACTTCATTGGATTTCTTCTTATGGGGAATAAATAAGTCAGTAAGTGTAATGTATTTAAAATATGTAGAACCAGCTAAATAAGAAATGGTTGGGGGAAAAAAAAACCTGTTAACTCTGTTCAGCAGCACTCAGCATACTCCCCTCTATGAATGCACAGTTGGGACCACTTGTTTAGTTTTTTTTTTTTAATTCACTCAGGCATACAGAATTATGATGACTGTGAGGAAGAGCTTCAAAGTCTCAGGTCTGAACTTACCCTCTTACTTTGCAATCACTGAAAAAGATGCTTTCTTGAAGGCCCCTCTTTACTAATATCAGAATTGCTATCATTCAATTCACTGTCTCCTCTTGTGTTATCTTTCACACTAAATTCATCTAGATTTGAATGTGTACTGGGAGTGAAAAGGACAGAACCATTCTGTTTTCCATAAAAATGTACAAAACGTCAAACATAGTGCTTAGAGAGAACGATACATACTCTGAAATTACCTTAAACTCGCAGATTTATCCTCTCCACGCAGGGATGGGGCACGGAGAGCACCTGGGCCTGAATCCTATTTAAAAAGAGGGGTGAGAGCAGCAGATTAACTGCTCAGATATTTCACGCTCAGATATCAAAACTGACCAAGCAGGAACAACATCCCTCACTGGGAGTGCTTCGGGAAGACAGCATTTAAACCCGGAGCGAAAGGAAGATGTTCCAACTGGACCCACAAGGAAGTTACCAAGGGCAGAAACAGACCCAGGCCTACATGACCATCGTGCCTCCTTCTGCCTTCATCTGTGAAGAAAATCTTCCTCTCAAATAAAAAAATAAAATAAAAAACAAGTCCTAAAAAATTAGTCCTTTGAAGTCCCAAACCTGGGCAGACCCTGAATTTTCATAACGCCCTCAGCATGGAAATCTCCTAAATGAGGACACTAAGACTGCTAGCTAGGGTCATCCACCTGGGCCTCCTGCAAGATCCCTCTCCTCTCCCTGAACCAGGAGCAAAGAACGTGCCACCATCCCCGGACTGGGAAGTCTCTGCAGCCTTGCCCTCCTGGGCCTCCGCACAACTGGAAAGGGGCAGTGTCTCCCTGAAGAACCTCAGTGGAAGCCCTCAGAGTCGGCCTCCTGCGCTCTAGGACTTGGGCCAGCCTGGGCACTCCTTGCGCAGCATCGGCTCCAGCTGTGCTCACGGGGCTTCTTCCTCCCAGTCCTCGCCTCGCCTTGGCTGGCACAAGTCAGGGTGGCAATGGCCACCAGAAGGCCGCAGCCGCTGCCCAAAACACCGATCAACACGCCAGGGTAGCCAAGCTGTGCCGCCCCAGCTCCCTGCACTGGGCGCCCCCCACCCTTCCACCTCCGCTGCCTGGTTCGCCGGCGACCTCGGCGGCGGCACCAGCATCACTTTTCCGCCAGGTGGCGCTGAGGCCGTCGGCACCAGGAGCAAAGTGGCAGCGCGGGACGGCGCCGGCTGGTCTCCATCCGCACCACGATGACCGCCGTCGGCTGCCCAGTGGGCTGTGGGGACAGGCGGCGCTGGAGAGGCAGCTCACCCGCTAGCACCCCGGGGCCGCAGTTAGCTCGGCGTCGGGGCCTTGGTCTGCAGGCGGGTCACCCAGTAGCCCAGCGGAGCGCCCTGGGTCAGAGGCAGCTGGGCTGAGCCACTGAAGACAGTGGCAGTGTGCGTGGTCATCCTGGTGCTGCACAGGTAGCCACAGCACAGCCGGCCCCGGCGCGGCGGAGAGCCACCGTCGAGCGCGTTCAGCTCCAGCTGCAACTTGGCCCGTTACTCGCGGTCAGAGCATCGCGGTGCGCGCCGCTCCCCCGTGGTGGGGTCCACCGAGACTTAGCGGGATACCCACTTCTGCCTCCAGCAGCCGGTAGGTAACCTGGCCGTTGCGGCCCAGGTCCGGGTCCCGCGCGGCCACCGTGGCCAGGTAGGCGCCGGGCGGGTTGTTCTCACGCACCGACACCTCGTAGACTGGCCGCGTGAAGAGCGGCGCGTTGTCGTTCTCGTCGCTCACGCGCACGGTGTAGGGCCGCACGGTGCGTAGCGGGGGCGCGCCGCGGTCCTCGGCCACCAGCGTCAGGTTGTACTCGGCGATGCGCTCGCGGTCCAGCGACGCCGCGGTCACCACCAGGTAGCTGCCCGCGTAGGCCGGCTGCAGCCGGAAGTGCTCGTGCCCGTAGAGGGCGCAGCGCACCTGCCCGTTGGCGCCCGAGTCCCTGTCCGAGGTGCTGACCAGCGCCACCAGGCTCTCGCGCGCCGCCCCCTCCGGCACCAGGGAGACGGCGCCCGCCTCCGGCGTCCCGGGCCCGGTGGGCGAGGTCGCGTCCGCACCCCCGAGAGCGGCGGCGGCGGCCGCGGCGAAGGGAGAGGCGGCGGGTGCGCCCGGGGCGGCCAGCGGGGTGATGGCGATGTCCGGAGCGTTGTCGTTGACGTCGCGGATGCGCACGATGACCTTGCAGGTGGACGCCCAGGGCCCGGGGCCGCGGTCCTGGGCGCGCACGTCCAGCTCGTAGGTGTCCTGGCGCTCGTAGTCCACGGGTCCTGCCAGGGTGAGGCGGCCCGAGCGCGGGTCCAGGCGGCAGAGGTGGCGCGCCTCGGGCCTGGTGCGGGCACCGAAGGTGAACACCACGTCGCCGTTGAGGCTCTCGTCGGGGTCCGCCGCGTCCAGGTCGAGCAGCAGCGAGCCCACGGGCGCGTCCTCCGCCAGCTCCACTTCGGCCACCGCGCCCTGCGGGAAGGCCGGGCTGTGGTCGTTGGCGTCCAGCACTCGCACGCTGAGGGCGGCCGTGGCGGAGCGTGGCGGGCGGCCGCCGTCCTGGGCCACCAGCTCCAGGCTGTAGGCGGCCTGGCTCTCGCGGTCCAGCTCCTGCAGCAGCACCAGGTCCGCGCACTGGGCGTCGTCCGCGCGCGTCTGCAGTTCCACGCGGAAGGGGCTGTGAGGCTCGGCCAGGCGCACGCTCTGCAGTCCGTTGGCCCCCACGTCCTCGTCCACCGGCACCTCCAGGGGGATGCGCGTGCCCACGGCCGCGCCCTCGGACACCTCCACGGGGATCTGGGCCCGGGGGAAGCGCGGCGCGTGGTCGTTGATGTCCCTCACCTCCACCTCCACGTGCACCAGCCGGAACTGCTCCTGGGAGAAGCTGACCACGTCGAAGGCCAGCACGCACTGTGGCGCTTGGCCGCACAGCCGCTCGCGGTCCAGGCCCGCGTCCCCGACGGTCAGCTGCCCGTCGCCCTCGCGCACCCGGAGCAGCGAGCTGTTGAACTGCTTCATCAGGCGGAAGCTGGTGTCTCCGGACACTTTCATATGCAGGTCCTCGGCCAGGGTCCCGATGACCGTGCCGGGGGCGTCCTCCTCGAAGGTGCTGTATCGCACTGTCTTGCTCTGGGCCACCGAGAGCACCCAGCAGAGGCTGAAGAGCTGTAAAGGGAAAACTGTCAAGGTACCTGGGGCTGGGAACTAACAGGACACAGCCAGAAGGCTGATATGGGTGCGATGGGCTACCTCCTCACAGGTGCAGAAATTGACAGTTTTGATGCAAGACTCGGACACCAGCTTCAGCTGCAGAACTAGCAAGAATTCCAGTCTGGTCCAGCATAAAGTGTCAGCGGAAAATCTGAGCCTCCAGCAAGCCATCTTTGTTCCTCAAAGAGAAAAAAGCCAACAGGAGGTTCTGCACTGATACTTGCAGCCCCTCATGCCCTCCTGAGTAGGCAGTCAGGAGATACTTGCCCTCCTAAATATATCTAATCACTAAACCCTCTCTGCTGTGTAATCGCTTTTCTGTGCTCCAGGCCTAAGCTTGCTTCTTCTGAACCCGATCACAGAGGTTACATAGAGAGGAATGTGCAAATAAGCATCCATCCGAGCCAGTCTGCAGAGTCTCTGGGTTTTGGGTCATGTTGTTCCCCTAAAAGAGCTCACAGAAGATCCTGGGGAGCTGAACAGTGGCCAGAGCAGTGCAGGGGGTCATGAAGATCCCCATAGAAGTTTGCACTAGAAGGATGCATCCCACTTGCTTTTTTCCACTGTGCTTGAATTCCACTTTGATGGTAGGAACAGGGAATTTGCAGCCTCTGTATCACTTCCTAAACACATTTACATATTCTTCAGACAGAGATACAATTACTCTTCTCTACCATTTTTAAACCAACGCTTATATGCATCTTTTGCCACCCACAGTTACCCATCTATGTTGGGGTATCATTTCCTGTATTGAAAGATTCTAGGGGAACAGCTTCTCCAGAGTCAGGCAGTGTCTAATCAGGGAAGAACTGTTTTCCAAAGTAATCATTTCTAAATAGCTTTTCCGTAGCAAAGAAACCATTAATGATGAAATTCCAGCCCCTTCATCTCCTAAAAGGAGTCAGTAATTACTTGTATGTGAAGAATCGGTGTCAGTCAGGGAGGTTTGTCAACCACAAACCACTATAAGGGATAGTTAAGGGTAGGAAAAAGATTTAGGGAAATATACTGCAGTCTTGTTAGAATATTGCTATAGACCAATTATTTTTTAAAAGCTCTTGGCTGAAGAAAGCCATGGGTGGCCTGATAGGCTGAAGGCTAAAAAAACATTAAACCATCTGTCTAAAGCACGATAAATACTCTTGTGTTAAGTTCTCTTTGTGTGAAATGTTCTAAATGCTAAAAGGTCCACATGTTAATGATGACATTGTTCCTCATGCCATGGAGTCATCATCAGTGCAGCATTCTTTAACCAGTCATCTTGAATAAAATTGGTGAACAGACTGAGTTATTAATATGCCCTGGCTATTCTTGGCTTCTCCATGATCTGTAATGTTATTGATTCCTGCAGGGACATGTCAGTAAACGACTTTTTTTTTTTCCTTTCACTCTTAGGAGGGAGTTGCATCTATTTTAGCACCAGCATCTTTGAATCCAGTTCTGAAACTGAGCCACCTTTGATGAGATAATTAATTTGCAGGGGTTTTAATTTAGTGGAGCATTTAGCAAAATGAGTCTAATTATAAGTACCGATAACCCAATGTTGGAGAAGTCTGCAGTAGGAAGCATGAATTGATTTGGGTTGGGTTCTCTGAGACCCTAAAAGGAGAAAGTGCTTCATTTTGTTTATTTTAGGCTTGTTATTTTGTCTGATGAGGCATCAGTCTAAGGGAGACAACAACTCTACTTACAGTTTAGCTGGACCAGATTCCTTTTAAGCCTGTACCCTCACTGGCATAAAAACAGCATTCTTCCTTGGAAGTGGGTATCCCTAAAAAAGACCTGGTTATTCAGCCTCTGGGTCTCAAGGAGAACAAGAGGATCTAACCCCATATCCAACTTCTTAATTCCTAGTTTCTCCTTAATCGAAGGATGAAAATGGACTCAGCCCATGTCTTTTAAAAGGCACATGCTTCCATACACATTAGCCAGGAGAGGGACCCATTTAACCATAGTCTGAGTCTCATTTCTTCCTCTTCTCCCTCCTCTCCAGCAATCCCTGCCAGGCTTGGCCTCTGCCAGTCTTCAGCATTACTATTGCTATTCATGACGAGCAAAACTGCTCAGCATACTGAAAATGAAGAATAGTCATGACTCTATCTACAGAACATCAAAAGATCCAGATAAAATATGAAAAAGGCAAGCAATCAAACACATTACCTCCACAATGCTAAACATCTGGACACTTATGTTTGGAAACATCTAGCTATGATGTTTAAATGCTTGATTGCATTTTTCCTCACTTTTCCTCCAGCTGTTTGGCAGCAAGTAGACCATCTACGATAAGGAATATGCTAGATGGTTAGTGATTCATTATTAACATTAGCATTGTTTCCCTAGTAAACAACCACCTTATTAAAACACCGCTTTATGAATGAAGGACAGCTGGAGTTTCCAGAAAGAGACATTTTCTGAGGCAAAAATCAGTTCTGTGCCAGTAGAGTGACAAGCCGAATAATATAGAAACTGTATGATCTGTCCCCCTAGGGATGTGTCATCAGGAAGCTGTGTTTACAGCCCTGAGCTGCTGGTGCTCTCATGTTCCATTCTGTTGGCTCTGTTAGATAAAAATCTGTCTCAGTATTAAAAGCATTGTGGCAGAAATTTGGTTTATGCTGCTTGTTTTCCCATTTGCCAGCATATTGCCAAACTATAAGTCCATTAAATGTAGTTTTGATCTCTGTTGGCATCCAACATAAAGCAAAACAAACAAGGGGAGCAGAGGACTATCACCACCACAAGAAGACCAAACTGTGAATAAAGCAGCAATTTGGTCTTCTTGCTCAGTTTGGTTTTAAAAGGTGGCAGGCTTTTGGTAAACTCCCTACAGTTTACTTGTGTTTCTAAAACAAAAGTACCAAATATACTAGCATTTGCCTCAAAATGCCAGGAAACCAGATCTATAAAACAGCATTTGCATTCTATTCTAATCATTTCCAGAAAGGTTTTTTGTTTTGTTTTTTTTGTTTTGTTTTGTTTTGCTGAGCACTTAACCCCAGTGTGTCCCTTTTTTTTTTTTTTAATTTTTTTTTTTTTAGTTTTATTTATGATAGTCACAGAGAGAGAGAGAGAGAGAGAGAGAGGCAGAGACACAGGCAGAGGGAGAAGCAGGCTCCATGCACCGGGAGCCTGACGTGGGATTCGATCCCGGGTCTCCAGGATAGCGCCCTGAGCCAAAGGCAGGCGCTAAACCACTGCGCCACCCAGGGATCCCCCAGTGTGTCCCTTTATACATTAAAGCACACTGTACATAAACTAATTTTCATCATAAACACAGGGGAAAAAATTGGTCCCCTAATTCAGAATAGTGTCTGTGCCTTTGCATATTTCCTCTTTCCTATTACATGAAACTAATAACATAAGTTGGGGGCAGGGGAGGAAATGAAACTTCAGGAAAGTCCCTAATGTGCAAATTTCCCTAGACTATGGTGTCCACGCATCCGAGTAAGCATCAACTTTCACAGGACCTTGAACTAATGTCCTGTCTTGGCCCAGAAACACTTTTTCTGCCACTTAGAACAAATTCATTCTATATGATATACTGAGACCCATTTTCATTTCTCAACTGAACAAACATCCTATAGACGAATGAGCAAAATATTATCAAGTGCAATGTTGCTGTCTTCAAGGAGTTAAGTCCCAGAAATTGAAGCTAGTAAGACTGTTTGAAAGAAAACAAATCAACCTAACAGCCTTTTTTTTCCTTAAAAATCATACCTTAAAAAAAAACTAAAATTAATCTTCAGCCGTATGAGCCCCCAAAATGGAGAAATTGTTTTAAGTTATCACATAAGAAGCACTATTATCTCATTCCTGCTACTCCATTGTATAATCAATGTATTATTATGCCTTGACTGTGCAGTCGTTTATAAGAAAAGTTATCAGCAAATTGCTGGTCCTTTTTGTCAAATGATTTCAGGGGAAATAATTCAACCCTGAAGTCAGCCAAAATACTGTCTACAAGCACTGTGTAGGAACAAATGATATTTTATCAACTATTTAAGTGCTTTAACCTAGGAAAAAATCAGAGGGAACCGTGATAGAGTATCAACACTAATCACAAATTCCCCTTAACATAAAACAAAGATTTAAATGATATAATCTTTACCTAGAAAAGTTTCCCATAGGATCATTATGTTAATAAAGATTATCATCAAAACCATATAATCTTAAGATACTACATGAAATCAGTCTTTAAACTGCTGATTTTATTAGTCTAGCTGTATGAAGGACATTAGATCAATGAATAATGAAAAATATCTTACCTTTTTTGTTTCAGGGATGCCTCAAACCCCGAGTGAGCCAGTGAAATTGACTTTGGTACTTGACTTCATCATTGGCTCAAGGTTTAGACTTTGCATTCTTGCCACCCAATAGAGAGGATACCTGCTCCCCCCACCAGAGATTATAGCAAAGCAAGAGAATAAAAGAATAAAGATTGAGAAGCAGGGGAGCCTGGGTGGCTTGGTGGTTGAGCGTCTGCCTTTGGCTCAGGTCGTGATCCTGGGGTCTTGTGATCAAGTCCTGCATCAGGCTCCCTGTAGAGAGCCTACCTCTCCCTCTGCCTATGTCTCTGCCTCTCTCTGTGTGTCTCTAATGAATAAATAAATAGAATCTTTTTTTTTAATTGAGAAGCAACTTTTTATCTTTGCCTTATTTTATCTTCATCTCTCTTTTTAGCTTATCCTCTCTATTCCTACTCTACACAGAAGTTCATGTCCCCCAGTAGTCAGAGCACTTTCAGGGCCTTTATCAACAAACATTTGATCAACTATTGGTGATACATTAAAGATTGCACTCCTGTAGAAGAAAATACTTGAAAGGTAAGAAAAATAAATAAATAAAACCATCAGTGTTCAGAGAAGGTCACAAGTGCTAAATGACATGGAGAAAGTTACATCAAGTGTAAAGAAGAAGTGATCTCCAACTTTCCAGGTGAAATCACAGGCAGCCAGAACTGCCAAAGACAAATAAAACCTGGGAATCATGTGAAC